GTGATTGTCTTGCGATTTATGTATTATATTTAACATTCAATTCACAATTAGTGTAATCTAAATGTTGAAAAATATTTTTTAACTGTAAGATACTTGTATTTTACACATTAAAGTTATAATTATATAATTAATGTATTTATAAGTCAAACTATGTTTGAAATTTTAACTTATAAAAGGCAATAAAATTGAACCAAAAAATACATATTGTATTTATTATATTGATAATGAAAATTTTTGACCACTATAATTTACTATTATTATCTACAGATAGTGTGCCCAAGCACAAACAATCACCGACGAGAGATATGTAATATTTAATTATCAATTCAATTCAAATAATAATTTTTATTACATACTATTTTAGACAGAGTTAGTCTCAGTTAATCTCTCAGAAGTGTTACGACAAAGCGACAAATCGCTGGTTTGCTGTTTATAGCGATAAAATAATTTATATAATGTTAATTTATAATTATTTTTCAGTACAAAGACAACTAAAACCACGATTAATAAAATGATTATAAAAATGTTTGCATTGGTTTTAAATTCCAGTGAATTTAACTGTTTATAAATGTTTGCATTGTCTGCGATTTCTTCGTCGGCTAACATCATATTGATTTGATCGGCGATTGATATGCCAGAGGCGGTCAGATTCGGGACCGACGAGTCTATGGGTATGTTTATGGTAACTATATTACTGCCCAAATACTTCTGACACAACACGAGGTAAGTTGTGGTACAGCCGACGTCAAACCACTTGCCCATTGCCGGCGCCGCAGAACTCATTACTGTGCAGTAGTTCTTCGAGAACCAATTGTTTGGCTCATTTGGTCCTATAGTGATGACAGTTAACCACTATTTACTATACAATCAACTCATAAATAATTAATTTAAACATGTTATAAATTGAATTATAACTTATTCTGAGATATATTGAAATAATAACTCTGATTAAAATAACGCAGAATATTCTGTAATATTTATATATAGAATAAATAATATTTGTCAATTAAACTTATTATATAATTTATGAGTTATAAAATTTAATTAATAGATCATAAATTAAAAATTATAATGTTAAGTAATCGATAGAAAACATTAAAGTTATCAAAACAGACCCCAATTTGTGTAATTAAGAGGACTTCTATCAAACCATACAAAGGATTCATTGGAGACACGGATCAAACCGATCCAAACCGAATACTTTGCGCGCATTTCTGTGAAGACCAGTCCGTAAACAAAGTCAAACTCTTCGGCCGAATGAATGGTAACGAGAGTCGCGCCGTAGAAGTGCTCGCAAACAGTCATCGCGTCGTGAAAGTTAGCGCCGGACATATCGTTGTGGTATTTAAAGCATTTGTTTTGAAAACTATGCCACCCGTCGTCGCACTCCTCGCCCGCACTCAATACTGATTGCAATTTCACTCAATTTGTCGATCCGTTAGAAATATAATACAATATAAATATTTTAAATATTGATTCACTAAAATTCTCTCATTTAAAAATACTTACACATTATTAGTATAATAAACGCGTGTATTATTGCTTTAATTGTTGCCTCGTTGTCGGCAAAACTCATATTTCTCATTTTGATATTTATGTTTTTGCTTTTAATTATATTTTGAAATAACTTTTGCGATAAATTATATATTATTTTCTCCAAACTTAAGTCTTAAATATTATGTTTGAAGTGAACCCCAAAATGAATACTACTTTATATATAAAGCATATGATTGTCACATAAATACAATAGAAAGGAAATCTAAAAGGATTTTCATTTAATTACCAGAAATATAACTTCAAGTGATCTCTACTATCGATAAATAAGTCATTTATAGGATGTGATCAAGAATTTAGGAAATGAGCCACGAGTTGGCAATGGGTGAACTATTTTGTCAGTTAATCATTTTTAATGGCTTAAGGATTTATCAACAATTATTGTTTTATTTAATACTCCACTCCTTTATATCAATTATATTATGAGTTAGAAATTGTTACAATATAACAAATGATTGTATTTATTACAATTTTACAGACAATTTTAAACAAACTTTTATTATTTATTGAACGAATTCTTCGGTTTAAAAAAATTCAAACGTAAAGATAAAACACTTTTTACAGTTAAATTTGAGAATTATTTTAGAAAAATCACAACATATTTATTAATCATTGGCTTCTATTAATTGTTAGAATTTATAAAAATATTATTTTCCGTTGAATTCAACTTTATTTGAATTTGATTTCAACCATATTTTGTAAAATACTTTAACGTATATTTTAAAGCTATTAGTGTTGTCATAGATTTCTGTGAATAAATCCCAAACGATTGTCATTTAATATAATTCAATGGAATCCAAACCCATTCCAAAGACACCAAAGGACTCAAAAATGAAAGGCGAGACCAAAGAAGAGGACAATCAAAAGAAGTCGGCGGAAGTGATGGGAAGCAAAGATCCGCTTCAGGACGAGGAAAGACTAAAACTTCTCAAAAGAATTATCAGTCATTTATGTCTATTAGTGTTGATTCTGGCCATAAACCAGATTATTCTGGGTTTGTGTGCCTATGCTTTCTATGCGGGAAAAACACATTTAGTTATCTTCGGTGGACTCGCTATTATGCAACTAATATCGGCGCCGATTGGCTGGTATGCGATCAAATGTGGAAATCGTGTCCTATTCCTCATCTGCTCTATCATTAATTTCGTTTGGATTTTCTCAGCAATTATTTGTCTCTTGTATTACTGGCTCTTCAATCGGACGGAACAATTCAATCATGAGATCGCTCTACACGTCGGTGCAGTCATATTCCTCACGGCCTCTATATTACTGGCCATCTGTTGCATACTTATGATGAAACAGATAGATATGATTGCCATCGCATACAAAGAGCCCAAAGTTGTTGTCGTCACCGACGGAAAAGCCAGCGACAAAATGGACAAAAAATGATTTTTATTTTAAAACATTTTGAAAACATATTATTCTTCTTATAATTATATATGTATTAATAGATTGTTAGACAAAATTAATTCGTATTCTTTGTAAATATTTCATTAAACAGTTTAATAAAATACATAACTTTTTGTAATTTTGAAAATCAATTATAACATTAGTTCTAAACAGTTGTGTTGCAGAATAATTATTCAGATAAGTTGTGAATTCATTTACTAAAAAGGATTATATATTTTGATCAAAGATTTAAGAGATTACGTGTAGTCAAGAATCAGTCAATTTAAATCAATTTATTGTAAAATATTTAAAATAAATAAAACTAGAATTTTCACAATTAGTATATGAGTTAATGGGGAGAGTATGTACGGCTGCTCTCGTCCTTTTGAATCACTTTAATATGAAAATTAGTTTCTTTCCAATCGTTGAAATTTCTGAGCCCTCGGAAGAGGTCGACGCCCAGCGTTATGGACGCGTCGAAAGCCATGTATAGGCCGAGGAGTGACAGCATTTGAGAGCCGGTGTTGTATCCGATATCATCTGTCCGGGCGTTTGAGTGATCCAAACAAACGTATATCAGATACGACTGAACGGTATAGTAGAGACAGTGGGAAAAGATTGTGACCCTGTTTTGCCACATATAGGAGACCAGCCCTCGCGGCCGCTTCACACACACGACGCCCCGGTATTTGCCGCGACATACGTTACACACGTCCCGTCCCGTCCACTCCATCCAATGCTTGAGACACTCAAAGTGTGTGTAACCGCCGGTTCCCCGACACTGACAGGCCATCAATAGATTGCCGACACTGTCCTCATCCCTACAGATTGAACACAACTTATTGTTTTCTGTCATTTCTTATTAACAATCTCTTTAAAAAGTTTCTTTGAATTGAAACCACTGTTTATAACTCGGAATCTGGTTTTGAATTCAATGTTTACAACGAATTCTTACAAATTATGAATTTTATTTGTTGTGAACGAGAAGAATAGGAAACAAAATATTTATGAATCAATTCATTTAGCATAAAATCAGATGAATCTTGATTCAATTGTTGCATCATTTTTACTGACAAACGCGAGCAAATGTCTTGCAGTAATAAAAGTAACAAAATATATACACTTGAGATCAACCATAAGTAAAACAAACATATTGTTAAATTAAATGTCAATTTTATTCAATGCTTTGGTCACAAAAAACAGTAGAATTTCTAAACAACAATAAAATTAAACCCAAAGACTGTGTCATAAAATTAGTATAAAATGATTAGCGATTCACTGATTGCGAGTCCAGACGGGTTCAGCCATTCGTGTGGACACCCTTTCAACTGTAATGCATTCGTCGGGATTGGCGTTCGCTTTGTAAAAGGCGAGCAACTCTTCAATAGCTTTGTCTTCGATACTAATCAAATGCAATGGCTTTGTCTGAAGTGCGCGAAGATTTTGGATCTGTTCCTCCTCTTCGCGAACGATATCTTTCATAGAAATGGTAGCCATTTGTGGATAATTACGAAGAAATGACTGATCAATGGATGCGGTGGTCGGCGATGGGCTGTCTTTTGATTTCCAAGGATTGGACAACGATTTTGGCGGCGAAACAGCCATTTGTGCGAACGATTTCGGAGAATTAGAGTCCATTGAAAACGACATATCATTCGGTTTCCGATAATTATTTCGATTTTGCGATGTTTTCGGTATTGGTATTGGATTTTGGCGCACAATCGGCGCCTCTTTAGGCGTTGAGTTTGGTTTAAATTTTGTGATTTTTGTCAATTTTGTCTCTTCTTCTGAAATGATGTCTTTCATAGAGAACTGAATCGGTTTTGTCAATGAAGTCATACCCCAAGTGATTGGCTTTTGTTTGACTGATATTTCGGGAGAACTGACAGTATTTGTCGTTTGAAATTCAGACAGACTTAGAGTTTGGGATTTCTTTGGTTTGATTGAAGAATTCATAGAAACAGCAATTGTTTGCATTGTTTGCTTCGGTTTTTCAGATTCACAATTCATACGTCTTCTCAGTTCGGACTCATCTTTCGGTGAACTGATCGATAGCTTCGATGTCTGTGAGTACTCGGAGTCCATCACATCGGATGAGTTGGACTCAATTCGCTGTCGATTGGACTTCTTGTGGCGCTTTATATCGTTAGCTCTCTTATTGAGAATCGCTTTCTTTTCCTCTAAATTCACACTGAATTCAACGCTCGAATCAAACAATGAATAGATTTGTTCTAATTGTTCCGCATTTGGCGCATAAGAGTATCGTCTTATCCGTCGATTACGGGGTCGAGTAATCTGTATAAACATAAGAGTTTAGTGTCTATTTCGAGGTAAACATTACAATAGATTTAATTTACAAGATTCTGATAGCATTCTGTCAAGTCTTTCAACGCTTCTTCACTCAACACATCAATAGATTTCGTTTCGATAAGAGTTTGCAAATTAATGCAAATGAAATCCAAAGAACATCTCCTCAATTGTTCCGCGTTATAGATATACGACAGCTCTAAGAGTTCGCACGCATTCTTCAGATTCACTGAAAAATGTAAATTATTTTCATTCAATGAATTGAAAAATGCAAGTTTGGGATCAAATAATCACTTACAAAGATTGACGACAGCGTATTCGCAGAATGTCTTAAGACGAGGGATCAAGTATTGGTCGGCAATCACTAAAACGTGACAAATAAACTCCGGATCTTCAATAGACTCCAGTTTTGACGACTCGTCTCTATAGATGTAATCCATAATTATCTGCAATATTCGCGACGGAATCGGAAGCGTCAGCGAACTGTTAGCCGACGCTTCAGTCCAACCAAAGCTAAACATTCCTCTGAAGTACTCGAGTCGTGCCATAAGAATACATTTATGACACTTAAACTCAACCCCATCTTCAGATCGGATGACAATGTCATGCAAATTGTGTTTCAGTCTATCAAATACTAGTTTTGGTGGCGAACTGTAGTCAAGAACTTTCACTTTATTATCAACTATTTTCACGCCATTACTGTTCAGCCAATTATAAAGCCATTTGATGCCCAACTTCTTCGCCGCGTCTATCATAGCATTGAGAGCAGTATTCGTCGAATTATTCTTCGACTTTGTTTTGTCTTTCTTTTGATTATTGTTTTTCACATTATTCTCCTTCACGTCGGCTGTGGTCTCCTTTGTCTTCCATTGGATCCGCTTTCCGTTCTCGAAGAGATCGTTTGAATTATAATAAATGAAACGAATTATTTGATCGAATGAGTCGACGGACACGAAGTTTGTGTCCATTACTATTGAATTACTGTCGGAATCCGACGAAAACTTCTTCAGGAAATATTCGGATCGATTCGAGAGAATAAACTTATGGCAAAAGTACTGTTTGTGTCCGATTTTGATCACCACATCGTGAGTGTTGTCGTTGGCAGCGCTCGTCTCAAACAGTGTCTTCATATCACTAATCATTTGTGAGTCCGGTTTAGACGCCGTCTCTAAGAGTCCTATTTTGGGCGACGCCTGAAGTGCAGCGAAGTTTCGGTTCTTGTCGTCGGAAAAGAGTGCGACCGCTCTCTGAATGAACGGCTGTTTCTTAACGCGAATGGTATGGCATTCGTCTCTCTCGATGAAAGTCACAAATGAGTTCACCTGAAGTGCTGCGTTCCGTTTGGTCGCCGATTTGGTCACAGGTGTACTCATCGGCGTCTTAACGGCTGTTGCCGTAATCGGTATGGGTTTAGGGGTAACGGCCAGAGGAGTAAGTGTTTGTGGTTTAGGGCTTACGATTGATTTTCTAGACTTTCTATCAGAAATGCGTCCGAAAAATACTTCGCCGTCTTTGGTAACCATTCCAAAGGCCGACACATTGAGACAAATGTATGTCACCGATAGTTCCCGTCCGAAACCAATGAGACACCGAACTAACATCGGATCGGATCCCTTCCAGAGATAAATCTTTCTCATTTTGGTTAATATCATAATCTGGAGCTCAACTCGTGAGTTGTCCAAAATGCCGGCCACGTCTGTGCGCTCATCCAAATGGCCGCCGACAACACATATCTGTTGAATATCGTACTGTTTTGAGGCCACTTTACGGCACTGGTATTCGTGGAGAACAAACACATCGCCTTTATCTGTGGCGCAAACAATGGCCCCATCACTGGTCACCACTTGATCTAACTTAGCATCAGTTTCCTTGAGGTTCATTGCAGTCACTTTATGAGGTATTGTCAGAAGCCGTTCCCCTTTTGTCTGTCCGATTTGGCCGACATTTAGGCCAAATGTAAACAATTCATCTCTCGTATAGAATAGTGAGTGATATCGCGCGGCACCGATACCCACAATGTCTCCCAACTTATGATTTGATCCCAGTTTCAAAGGCTTCATTGAAATCATTTGCGGAGTTAACAGCTTCTCAGGCGCCGGGATGTGACCCAACACGTGGTATGTGTTGTTTCCGCACGAATACACGTGAAGTGACTTATCCTTCAAATGCCTAACCAGCAGTAGTAAGTGGTCCTGACCTGAAGCCATGGACTCGCAGAATGGGCTCTCGTTGTGAATGGTAAGCATTTTTGGAGATATGCAAAGGTCTTCGGACGGGAGACCGAGTCGTCCTCCGTGTCCGTTACCACAGCTGAACACTTTGCCATCGTTTGAGAGAAACATTGAATGAAATTTACGAATCATAACGTATTTGACGTGAATGTTGTCCCGTTTGAAAGCGTTGATCACTTCAGGCGTTTGACGGCTCTGTTCCGACTCAACGCCCAAATTGAAGTTATCATTAGAGCCCCAGACGTAGCAATCGCTGGGATCAGATCGGGTGTACTCTATATACGGCGGTCTGTCCAGCATTAAGAGGTCGAGTGGCGTACAGTTGTCGCGATCGGTGGCATTCAAATTGGCGCCGAAGTCAATGAGAGTTTTGGCGCATCCGATCTGACCGTAGAAAAGGCTTCGGTGTAATGCTGTCCAACCGGACTCCGAGTCCTTCACGTCCAGCTCTGAGTGACAGCTCTCTAACAGCCATCGGACGAAAGCCGTGTCGCCACAGGAGGCGCCCAAATGGAGAGCGTTTCGGCCGAACTGATCCACGATTACCGAGAAGTTATGGCAAAGAGATCGACAATAGGTATACAGTCGGTCGGCCGGCGGACGACCGGTGATAGCGGCCATCATCTGAAGCGCGTGTTGACGACTATCGCACCAAACGGTGCACTCGGGCTCACACGTGGCCATCGGGTGCACAGTTTGGTCACTCATTTGTACTCAGAAAATATATAAACGATTTGAATGTGAATTAAATTACAAAAATAAACTCTAAATAAATTAATAACAATTGAATCGATGGTCGAAAACGACTCCCTTTTGGGGAGTCGTCCCGAAGCGGTCTAAACGCGTCTTAATTGGCCATAATTTGGGATCAAATGCTGAAACATATTGAATGGTAACATAAGTGTCTCGTTTGATAACCAAAACAATTAATTTAAAAGTTATATCAAAAGTAATTTCAAAATACAAACCAAATTAATTGCAAAACCAATGAGCGATGGATTGACTGATGACTGCATTCAATATCAATGACATAACGCTATAAGACTTTTCTCGCAATTGGTTTAACGCTAAATGACATTAACTTTTGGATCAAATGATTTTCGCAATCAATACAATCCGTTTGAAAAACGATTCAACAAAACGAGTGATTTGTCTGCAAATGACGTAACCCTGGGATCCGATAACAAGTGATGTGTTTGTGATCTAATAGATGACACTTTGTCTCACATTTCAATCAAATTGTAGTGAACTTTGAAGTGAAAAACTTTGAAAAAACTTAAACTTTATTTAATAAAATTAGTATAATTTAAAATAAATAATTTATTTTATATTAGATTTATTTAATAGTTATCATAATTTAGAGGTTTTATATTAAAATAGGTATTAATGTGACTGTAAGTGAGTTAGTCGTCGGTCAAGCGATTACTTTGTTCATCAGATGTGGTCCGTTGTCTCAAATTAGTTGCCATAATATCCTAGCATTAATATAAGCACTAGTTTTAGTGATATTACTACACAAATATAGCATATTATATGTGAGACCGTGTATTGATTGTCCACTTGTTCCACGTATTGAAACTTCTTATCCTTGTAGTACTTCCCGCCTTTGTTTAGATACAACACTACGATATCACAGATAATCGTCGTCTGAAAACAAAGTAAATCATTCATTAAATCAATCATTCAATGAGACAATGGATTTAACCGACAATAGCGAGTAACCCGAGTCCGGACCCGATCTTAATGACCAGAGGAATAAAATTGAATTTTCCGGCCGAACCGCTCACCAAAAGCACGAACCGAATACCCGTCGCCTTATATAGTGTGCGATAATTGTCAATATAGTCGGCGTATCGAAAGTTCCAGCCTTTGGCTATCTTTGTCTTCGGGTCGTCCAGTCGTCGGAAATAATATTTAGGGACACAGTATTTGATATCAAAGTCCAGATTACAGTCCCAATTGATATCAATGCCGATAACACCGCCGTATTGGGAGATACTGTCGTAGTCTTCATTGGCCCACTTGACGATGTCGTTGAGCACAAACACAGGACACCCGGGATTGTGGTCGGGATCATAGATACAGTCCCTGAGTGCCGATGAGTTCTCGATTTCGATGATATTCCTGCGCCGGACGTTATAATTATCGAAACGAATACTGTTTTTGATCAAAACCGTCCAATTTTTGGTGTCCGTAAAGAGTGGTCTATTCTTCTTGAGCGGGTAGTCATCCTTCTCTACCGGACACCAGCCCTCGATCTGACACGTGTGGACGCCTTCTCGCGACGATTGAACACACTTTCCCGTCGAAACTCCTTTCAATTTAAATAAAATCTCAGTTTAAAGTCACTTACTTTTTAAAAGTATCGCAAATATGCAAACCGTGTCCCAAATTAAACACTTTGTCGACACACATGTCGGGCACTTTCGGGTCGCAAATAGCATCGGAAACATCAGCGTCTTCTGGACAGACACTTAATGTCTGATTTGGTGTTATTATCGTATTTGTGGTCACAAAGAAGGCCCCGTTTTCCTGTAGTTTTTTTTGCCACAAAAATTCCAATAAATTATAAAAACTTAAATTTTAATGTTAATAGATTGGAGTACCGATGCGGGAACCACGAGGTCTGTATTGTCCCACACTCTTATGTATATATCTTTATCCCCCTTATAGTTGTCATTGAAGTCATCGGCGGTCAGATGTTTTGTGGACACAACTCCTTTCACTTTAGTAGTCACCGAACTCTCGACGCCCGCAAACTCTTGGTATCCTTTCTTATAGATTATTACATAACTATTGAGAGAGAGAGAGAGAGAGAGAGAGAGAAGACACGACTGTCAGGTTTTGGGACGTCGACACCGAAACACCAAAATTTACGGCCACTTCACACAAACACTGGGTTCTGTCCATCGCGTGGTCACCGAATGGTCAAAAGCTCGCCTCAGCCGATAAGAGAGAGAGAGAGAGAGAGAGAGAGATTAAATGAGTAATTGATGCCAATGTGTGTATAGTATGGATGTAATACCCGATGATATAAGCAATGATCGCGGTTTGGATCAATCTGTTCAAAATGCCCACTCGTTTATTCCTGATGTGAACTATTTTCGGTGTTTTGTATTCAAAAAAAACTGATTATATTTTCGATGAGTAACTCTTTGAAAGACATTGTATTTCTTTGTAACAAAACTTTTCAAATCAATACAAGACTAGAGATAAATGATATCTTAAATGAGATCTCAAATAAGTGTCAAATATATTATTATCTGCGGAAAAGTGTAGCAAAAGTTTGTAAATTTATAATCACATTAAAAGTATCGACAAAATTGTATTTATCGTACATTTGATTACAAAACGCCTACTTTTACATACTTTTAACACTATTTATAACCAATTATTTATTATTTTAATAGCGTTTATACATTGAAACTCGTATTTAAGATAAATAAACACACATTTAATGTCACAAAATTATTTCACAAGAAAATTAACGTCAATTTAAGTGTTTAAAACTTTTGTGAAAACTAAACACAAATCTCACACATAATTATTCATTACTTATTATCATAAATATAAATGACTTTATAATTATAAACAACTCATTATATTTGCAATTTATTTGCAAATCACTGCAAAAAACTGATCATTTGTTTATTAAAACATTAATAAAAAGCCATTTAATTAGCGGCTAATTAAACAACAGCTCATTTTGTAGACAAGTGTTTGGCTTTACGTGAAATGCAAACCAAATAAAGCGTTGAATGAATTGAATGCAAAAAACATTGGATTAAAAGTTATAAATAAAACTCAAAAATGAGTTGTTTTTCACAATTAGTTCACAAATGTTTTCACTCATAAACACAAACATATGATTACGTAATGCATGTATTGAATGATTGAATCACTCAATGCTTTTCAGTGCCTATAGTTGTAAACATTGAGAGCACGTGTTGTTTGACAAACACGTGAAACAAACACTTGATTATCACCCAAAACTTGGCCATCAGTTCGCTGTCACATCAGCTGATCCAGTGTCCCAATGGCTGACCAATCCATCCAAACAGTTGTGGTTCAGCTCAAGTCAGAATCGGGCGAATCATTCGGCACTCCGTTCGACATTCCTCTGGATATCAATGGAGACAAACTTCAACTCATATGCAATGCATTGCTGGACAACGAGCGACACATTCCGTACCTATTCTTCGCGAATGACATCCAAATAACCGATAGTTTGCGGCAAACGATTGACACGAACCGCAAACTCTTCGATACTGAGCGCTGTCTGGACATCGTGTGCGCCCCTCAGGCCGTGTTTCACGTGCGGGCGGTCTCGCGGTGCAGCTCATCCATCACCGGCCACTCCGACGCTGTGGTGTCCGTACAGTTCAGTCCCGACGGCTCCCAATTGGCGTCGGGTTCGGGCGACACGACTGTCAGGTTTTGGGACGTCGACACCGAAACACCAAAATTTACGGCCACTTCACACAAACACTGGGTTCTGTCCATCGCGTGGTNGGTGTTTCGGTGTCGACGTCCCAAAACCTGACAGTCGTGTCGCCCGAACCCGACGCCAATTGGGAGCCGTCGGGACTGAACTGTACGGACACCACAGCGTCGGAGTGGCCGGTGATGGATGAGCTGCACCGCGAGACCGCCCGCACGTGAAACACGGCCTGAGGGGCGCACACGATGTCCAGACAGCGCTCAGTATCGAAGAGTTTGCGGTTCGTGTCAATCGTTTGCCGCAAACTATCGGTTATTTGGATGTCATTCGCGAAGAATAGGTACGGAATGTGTCGCTCGTTGTCCAGCAATGCATTGCATATGAGTTGAAGTTTGTCTCCATTGATATCCAGAGGAATGTCGAACGGAGTGCCGAATGATTCGCCCGATTCTGACTTGAGCTGAACCACAACTGTTTGGATGGATTGGTCAGCCATTGGGACACTGGATCAGCTGATGTGACAGCGAACTGATGGCC